GGTTTTAAGGCATTAGAAGCACTGCATTGTAGAGCTGCGAGAATTATCTTTGAGCTACCTTGGGAGATATCTAATGCAGATGTTATGAAAAAGGCTAATTGGTCTTCTTTAGCCTTTATGTATAAAATTAGCTTAGTTAAGCTTATGTATAAAATCCACAATAACCTGACTCCAGACGCTATGTCAGCTATTATTAAGAACAATGATAACATCAAGCGATATCAACTTAGGAAGAAACTGAAAATTGATGTCCCTCGTTTTAACACCAACTACATTAGGAACTCTGTAGCTCGTAGAGGAGCAATAGTTTGGAACACGTTGGTTCCTCAACTTAATGACGATATAGACAATGTTAAGAAATATGCGATTATGGCAAGACGGTCAAAGGCTCTGCTACACCTAGATTTCGACTGTATCTCCCCTCAAACATTAACCAGAAGGGAGGAAGATTTTAAGTATAATTAGTGTTAATAATTAGTCGATACTAGAGTACCACCTTGTACTTTAGAATTTTAAGCTTTTATCGTTTTAGACTTGTAAGTAGTAAGAAGCTATATGATTTTAGCTGGTGTATATCCTATTTATTTTCTAATTCATTAGTTATCTTATTTAATTATTTAGACACGACCCCACAAGCGAAGCGTCGCTTTAAATACTTATTGTGTATAAATAAAGATTATTGATTGATTGATTGATTGATTGATTGATTGATTATTGAAACTAGTGCATCGTAAAGGTTGGGGAACGAGTCGTTCCCCAAAAAACTATAATCTTTCTCTTGACTGCCCTCCATGCCTCGTGCTTTTCAAAATGGCGGATAAGATTTCAATGAGCCAGCGATATAGCTCAGTCAGCGATAAATCCCTAACAATGTAACGTTGAAAAAACGACAGAAACCGTCTGCATTTTAAGACCGGTGCAAGCCTTCGGCTGGGCCCCGGTAAATATATAACGTAAATTAAACATTAAAAGCGAAAACTGACGCAATAGTCAGCCTTAATTTTTATCGGCTTTGCTATTGAAAGCATCTCAAGTGGTCCTCCATTTCTCAAGTCTTGTGTTACTCTCGTCCAAACGGTTTTGCTGGCCAGAGTCTAACATTTCCAACCATTAAGCCAATCAAAATTTATACCGTCAGAATATTGGGACGTAGATCATGTGAAAGACGAAGAAAGACCGAATCTGAATTACCCTAGGCGCCAGAGACTTTTCTAGCGCGGTTTCCCTCTGTCAAGTCTTTCTAGTGATCCTGCTGATAAGAGTATCCATTTTAGCGTACATTTGATCACATTGTCTGACAAAAAGAATGGAATAATACTATTAAAAGGCCTTAACAAAGGGTTTTGTAGAAAATAAAGGACAATCAATTCCTTTGTCAGTTGACAGTAAAACCCAAGGCAAATGTCAGTTGTCAGTTAAAATTTTGGCTATTTGTCCGTTGTAAGTTAACCCCATCCACACCCTCTTGTTCCGCACGGGGAGCAAACTCTTGTGGAGAAAGATTCTCCTTCCTCGAGGACAACGAAAAGTTCGTTTTTCAGTAGGTCGGCCCACATTGGTAACGTTTCTCCTTTTCTGGTAGGCGCAACAAACACGTTTTCCGGGCTTATCCATCCACTCATAAAATTGCCGAACTGTGTTTTGATATTCTACAATCTATGCGAGGCGCTCGGCTCTTTGGGCTTACTCCCCCTTCGAGGAGCAGGCACAGGCTTTGTTGGCGTACTACTGCCACTTCCACTCATTTTTGATCCTCCACTTTATATACTATGTTTCACAGAGAAGCAATGCTAATGCTAGGTGTTTTTTTCTCTTGCCTCACACGCCTTACGGGCGCGTGAGGCTCGCGCGCTTCGCGCTTAAGACTCTTACGCCACGCTTTACCGATTTCTTTACTGATTTTGAGAAAAAAAAAAAGACGACTGTTTTGCAGTCTACTGGAAAGAACTTTCTCTTGGAGAAAGACGTATAATGCGGTCAAACGAACGTGTCTTAGATATCAGTACTATGCAGTAAAATCTCAGTACCATCTTGTTCAATCCCCGATATCATGATCTTAATCTTGAGAGCACAGTTTTAAAAACAAAATTTTGCGAAGTCGTTAATAAATACTGCACTACAGCATAACCCAGAATGAAAGATTGTATAGTGTTCCTAGTCAGACTTAGAGTTTGCTTAACAGTAAAAAAAGGCTGAAATTACCTCTAATTTTGCATGTTTTATCAATATTAGTTGTATTACGGTGAAAGGTTTGAACCCAGGAGTCATTTCAAAAGTGGGTTGAGTTTAATCGTCCGGGTTCACGTAGTAGTTGTTTATCAGTTTTCTAAAAAATCCCGCGCACCTCACCTTGACCTCTAAACATCAACTTTGACATCTTACCTGAATGGCAACTTACTTATATTCTTTATTTTATTTTATTTCATTTTATTTACTTTTTATGAAAGAATCCCTTCTTATTTGAACATACCATTTTCAGTAAATAATATCGTGAGCTGGA